AAAAGCAGTGGTAGCACCCGCATTTATATCCGATATCATCACACATCCCCTCAGTCCTTGTTGCTCTCCGTGACTTTTTATGTTGAGCTCATTTTTGAGTGGGGCAATGAAGGAACAACAGAGTGTGAGATTACAAACTCGAAGTAAGTAGAAGAACCTGCTAAGAAAGCAAAGCACCATTGCTGCATGCAGGCGGTACCAACACTGCATAGAAAGAGCCAAGACATCAGGTAGTCACAGCCAGCCCAGGTACTTTCCATACACAACCTTATTCTTCTTTGTACAGTCACCAGGAAAAGCTCTGATGCAATAGGTACCAACATCTCCTCTCTTCCAAGTGTATTGTACATAATATATAGCATCCATGATAGCACAGAGAAGCTCCAGCAGCTGCTCGTGTCAGCCCCTTCACATCGTAGCACTGGCTACCGTAATGCTCATTTCTAGGACTGGCTGGATATTTTCTGACAAAATCTTTTCAAGATTTTTATTTTAATATTACACAACAGTGCAAGTAATGTATAATACTCTCTGATGCCTGCACGTGCACCGTGCATCAGGGAGAAGCATGCAATTTTTTCCTTCCAAAACACCTCATAGTTCCAGTAAATCAAGCTGTGAAAGTGCAGGCAAGATCAGTGACAGCTCTCAGTCCTACTCAGGCCAGCTCGCTCAGTTAGATTCCAGAGCCACCTCCATCCATGCTGGAAGCACACACTGTGCTTCATACAGAGACTTACATCTGTGGGATGACTGAAGCTATGAAAAGTGCTGACAATTTTCAGCAAATTTGCATATGTTGCCACTGCTGCTGCTTATGTAAGTGATTTCTAGCTAACCACAAATACAAAAAAGCAACATCCAAAATAGATTTTAAAACAAACCGCTTGCAAATGTGACTGAATGACACATCTCCCCACCCCTCTTCAAATCACTTCTATAGAAAAGGCAGACACAACTGCCAGTGTTTCCCCAGAGAGTCCCATGGAAAGCACCTCCTGGAGTACATATCCCAGAGCCCTAACATCACCTCACCTTCCTGACATCTATGCTGACCTGCACCAGTGAAGGCTGACAAACTGGCACACACCTGAGACTCCTCCTAGGTTGCTCTCAGGTCTGGAGCTGTAAAGATCTTTCTACGCACATCATCATCCCAATTATCTCTTGATGCAGGTGGGGTGAGGAGGCAGGCAGGAAACATTTTGTTGCCTTCAGCTGTTAAGAAATCCCACACAGCACATTACATTTGCTTTATACCTCTGTTCATCATGGCAGTGCTGGCCTGAAGGACAGCTCATCGCCCATATCTGCACGGATTCCTCTGCACCAGACTGGGAAGGGCAGTTTCTTAACCTGGGACTGCAACAGTCTGGTACAGAGGGTCCATGTATGGCTCTGCTCAAATGGTCAAAAGGTCAGGCAAAAATATAAAAGAACACAAGGGAGAAAATGGGCAGAAGATGCATCTGCTAGCCCCTGTCTTTCAGGTCTCATGGCTGACGTAGCTATAAATAACCAAAGGAGGGGTGAAGGTTGAAGCTGATGGTGTATCTACTCAATGGAATATGGATCACAAGCAACAACATTCCTCCTCCCCCAAGCCCTTGAGTTTGCAGAAGGGTGTTGCTTGCTCACAGACCGAGATCAGTCAGAGCAAAACCACATGCATTCAGCAGCACTCTTTTGGACTCCTCTGGTGTCAATGGATTCTCATGTTTGGGAAATACTGGTTAGGGGCTGTTTCTCCATTAACCTACTATCTCCAAGAGCACAACAGTGTAAGAAACAGTACTCGGCTTCCCAGCGAAAGGAAGACAAGGACATACTGGAGAGTCCAGCAGTGGGCCACAACAATGATTAAGGCATTGGAGCATCTATCATACAAGGAAAGGCTGAAAGAACTGGGACTGTTTAGCATCAAAGCAAGAAGGCTCAAGAGGGATGTTATCAACGTGTATAAAAACCCATGGGAGGGCCAGTAAAAAAATCAGAGACAGACTGTTCTCAGTGATATCCAATGAAAGGATGAGACACAATGGGCACAAATTTAAACACAGGAAATCCCTTTTAAACACAACAAAAAACTGTGAGGGTAGTCAAGCACTGGAAGAGATGGCCCAGAAAGTCTGTAGAGCGTCCATCCTTGCACATATTCAAAACCTGAGCAGACATGTCCAGGAAAGCTGGACTACCTGATCTCCAGCGGTCCCTTCCAACTCAGCAGTTCTGTGAACAAGACCACAGCACCCTCCCCAACTGCTGCCAACCAGCCTGGGCTGAGGAAACCCATCTGGAACCCCAGCACAAAGCTAATACCCTCCCTTGCTCACTTTGCTCTCCGCTTTTGATAGTCTCTTGGTTTATGCTATCCCTTTTGCTCTGTGACAACTGTATCCTCTCCAGAGCTCACAGAGATTATCTTGTTTCCATCTTCTTCCTACCACACAGTTCTCCAGTCCTCTTCCAGCTCTCATTGTTTCCATCACTGCCATGAGCAGGAACTTCCAGCCATCCTTGTTTTCTTCTAACCTGCCACTGTGGGCTTGCAGCAACCACGGGAGCAGAAATGAAAGAATGCCAAACATCTTTACCTCTTTACCTCCCTGTGTCTCTCTTGCCCCACCTTTACTAGGTTTTTGGTTCTTTCCTTGATCTTTTGCGATGAATGAGTTGAAAACACATTCTTGCTAGCAAGATAACTTGGGTGGCAAAGGCAGCAACCTCTCAGGAATGCCCATCTCTAGCACCAGTATTCTCGTCCCACAAGTCACCTTCATGATCTTCTCAGGGCTGTCCAACTCCACATTTGCCATTAAAACCCATTCTGGTTAACCACCAGCCATGGCAACATCTTCTTTGGAAGAGCCAAGAGCTACCAACATTCAGCGTGAGTGCACATGAGAAGGAAGAGCATGCCCTATCCTCAGCTCCTCGATAAGCCAGCTAGAGCCATGTGGCAGCATGCAGATGGGTTCTGGCAGCTCTGCAGCCCAGCTGCCTGTGAAGAGACACAGGTGCTATTGGTGCAGCACGGTTCCTCCCAACTCAGACACAGCACCAGCATTTCTCTTCCTTTATCCAGCAGGAACCAGCACACCGCAGACTGGCTGCTAAACTAGCCACTCAGGGGTGGAAGAGACACCCCCCCCCAACTGTTGTCCTTCATACTTTTCTTGCTTCACTCTTTCAGCTCAGAACCAAATCTCAGGGCAGACTTTAGAGCAGTGCTGTCCGAGGAGATTTCAGTGTTGGTAAACCTGAAGTCATATGAATGAGAAAATCCAGCTTGCCTGTCTATACACAGTGGCAGGCTTAAAGTTACAAAGGCTTCAAAAGAAGGCCATCTCCTTTTGGTATTACCCAGCCACCTGATAGACTTTTCTGTGAGGAGAAAGGATGTATGCCATGCAGGGCAAACCCTGCCAGCCCTGGTACACTTTGGACAATGCCACAAGCCATGTTCATTCACTGCTGTGGCAAGAAATGCAGCCAGCTGTCCTTTGGGACAGTGAGGTACAGGGAGGGCTCCAGAGACAAGAGCAGCAGTACCTGCTGGAGTAAATGGGGCATGGGGAAGCGAGGGCACGACAGAAGGCAGGAATAACATTTTCATCTTTCAACAACACCATGTGGTTAAATTAAGCTCAGAACATAACACTGAACCTTACCAAAAGCTGCAGGGCCAGGGCCACCCAAAGCCAACGTAAATGCTGGTTGGTACTGAAAGGAGAATTGTGTTCATGGCCCCATCTGCCTATGCATTATCATCACCTCCCTGACGCTAGATCCAATGTCAATGTGGTTATACAGGGACTTGGATCAGAGAACAGAGAAGGAGAATATTTCTATCCTGTTGTCTTTCAGTTAGAGCAGGTCCCTGAGCAAACTAGCACACAACGGAATGTCTACCTGCACAGAGACATGACACACACACACACACACAGAAATGTGTGCCAAATACCCATGGTCACATAAATTTGGTTAATTTGGTTAATTAGCTCTCTTTCTATATATTTATTAACTCCAGCTCATAGTCCTTATTAGGCACCACCTCTGGGGAAAAGGAAAACATGCCAGAGCAAACAGCACTCGGCACTTGCCATCTTTCTTACCTTCCTTCCGAAGGTTTGCTCAAGAGAAGGGAGGCTGGGCTGTGTGGACAGTCGGTCTGCAGCAAAGTTTTCAGTGGTACATGAGCCAAGGGTCAGAAAGGCACATCAGGAGGGCAGCAGCTTTCAATCTGAGCACAGTGGAACTTGCTCAGATTTAAGCAGGAAAAGAGGAGTTTCCAAGGGGGAGATGATAGGAAAGTAAAGTTATTGTGTACACAGAAGTGATTTCCCACTGCCTTTGCTGAGCAGAGTTTGTCTCATGATAGATTTTGCCTCAAACAATTCCTAAATTCCTGGTTAGATGTGTAAATACTTAGCAATTTGTGAAACCACAAACATCCACATATCTCAGTAAATGATCTTGTAGGTGGCAAAACTGACAAACAAAAGGACTCCCACATTCTTAAACTAACAAAGAAACTTGTGTTGTGAAAACACAGGAGTCCAGAGGAGCCTGCGGCTCGCTGTACACCCTGAACCCTGCCACTCCGTGTCTGTGAGTGGGGGCACCAGAGGCTCCGGCTGCCGGCGTGGGGCCGCGCGGGCTGTTCCTTCTCCGAGCGCCGCGTACTGTCACCGGCACCCAGCGCGCTCCAGCCCTGGGGCGCCCGGCCCACCCGCGCTGCCCTGGGCACCAGGCAGAGCGATGTCGCGGAGGGTCCCCGCCGGCCACGCCGGTGCGCGGCCGCGCGTCCCCCCCACGCACCGCTGCCGGTACCCCCCCCCCCCCCGCCCCCCGCCCCCCGCCGGCACATCCCCGGCCACCCCCGGGCCGCGTGAGGGGCGCTCCGGGACGGCTCCCGCCCCCGGCCCGGCCGCCGAGCGGCTCCCGCCCCCGGCCTCCCTCCCGGCCCGCTCTCGGCGCGGCCCAGCTCCCGCTCCTACCTCCAGGAGCTGCACGTAGCTGGCCGGGAACCAGCCGCGCAGCCCGTCCTCCTTCTGCCCTTCCCACCAGCCGCCGTCCGGCACCTGCAGCACCGTGATCAGCTCCCCCGCGGCGAAGCGGAGCCCCTGCCGGTGCCGCTCCCCGGAGAAGGGGTACAGCGTCTGGCAGCGCGACCCCGACATCCTGCCGGGGGCCGCGGCCGCGCTCCGCCCGCAGCCGCCCTGGCCTCGGCCGCCGCTCCGCGCCCAGCCGGGGCGCCGCTGCCCGTCCAGCGCCGCGCAGGGCTGCGGGCGGGCCCGCGCTGGCCGCGCCCCTCGCCCGCCTCGCACCGCCCCGGGGGGGGCCGAGCGGGAGCGGTGGCGGGAGCGGGAGCGGAGCCGCCCCGGCGCCCACCGGCACCGCCGGGGCGGGGCGGGGCGGGGCGGGGGACAGGCGGGACAGGGAGAGCGGAGGGGGAAGGGGAGAAGGGGAGAGGGGGAAGGGAGGGAGGAGGGGATGGGGCGGGGGAGAGGGAGGAGAGGCCACCCGGGTTCGCCGCCCGCTCCGCGTGGGCGACACTCGTGTCGGCGGACAGCGTGTGTGCGTGTGAGGGGGGGAGACCGAGTGCGTCTGTGACCCCGAGAGACATCGCGCGGGTGTGTGTGAGAGACAAGGCGAGAGTGGGGCGAGACACCGTGTGAGCGCGACTGCACGAGGAGCTGGGGGTGGGGGGGTGAGTGGTGTAGCTGTGTCCGAGGGACACTGTGTGTGGCACCTGTGTGTGGCAGAGAGAGAGGCCGCGGGTGGGAGACGCGCAGTGTGTGTGTGTGAGGGGCACCCGTGAGAGTCACCGTGCCTGTGACACCCAGACACCTCTATGTGTCTGCGAAAGGCGCCGTGTGAGCCACTGTGTGCCTGACACCGTGTGTGTGTACACCACCTGTGTGTCTGTGTCTGTGAGAGACAGGATGGGGGACACCATGTCTGTCTGCAACACCGATGTGTATGACCCCGTGTGTCTGAGACACCGTGTGTGCGTTTGGAGACGCGTGTCTCTGTGAGAGTGAGATGTCTCAGTATCTCTGAGACACCATGTGTGTATTTGTGACACACACCTAAGTGTGTGAAACCCATTTTGCCTGCAAGACATCATGGGACATACCCAAGCATGTGTGGACCATACAAGCATGTGTGTGACACATCTTCATCTCTGCAACACTCAGCTGAGTGTGCAGCTTGCTTTGGGTGTGTGTCTGACTGCAGCATGTGCGTGAATCACCCGTGTGAGACACCTCTGTGTATGTGACACCCTGGTCTGTCTGATACCTGTGTGTTTGTGAGACACCCTCATCAGTGTGACACTCATGTATATGTATGTGTGAGACACCCCCGTGTGTGTATTTTGTTTATGAACACACGCTCTGTGTGCAGAGCCTGTTCTGGGTGTGCATGCCTGACTCACTCTGCAGAATGTGTGACTTCTGTGTGTCTGTATGTTAGACACATCTGTCTGTGCACATAGGGGTGTGTGAATCTGTGTATGTCTCTCTGTCCAGGTATGCACACCTGACTCACTACACATATGTAATATATACCTGCCTGTACATGTATAAGCACTGGCGTGGATGTGTGTGTATGAAGCCCAGGCATACACATATGTGTGACTTGCTGCAGGGTGGGCTGCCTGACCCACTCTTTGTGTGTGTGTGTGTGTGTGTATGTGTGTGGATGAGGGCATGTGCACATACGAGACTCGCCCACATAGTGCTTGAGATCTCCATGTGTGCATGGATATACCCAAAAGGCAGGGCATGCATACCTGAGTGACTCTGTACTACCTCTTGTGTGTTGCTTATGGGATACGTGTGTCTGTGTTTGTGTATGAGAATCTCCCACAACTGTGTGTGAGAAGCTCAATCTTTTGTGAAACTCAGCCTCCTATGAAGGCGTACGGTACGTCTGCTTGTGCAGGAGACACGTGTGTGCATGTGAGAGACTCACCTATGAGTGTGACTTACTGTGGTGCATGTGAGCACACACCTTGAGGCTGAGCTGTGCGTGTCACACCCATGCATTTGTATATATGGCTTCCCCTGAATGGGTGAGACTCACTCAGATAGCAGACTGACCTGTATGTGTGCTTATGGGACAACCATGTGAGACCCAGATGCATGTGTGTGACTCTGTGTTTGTGTGTAAGCTGCCTGTGTGCGTGTCTGAATACACCTATGCATGAGGAACTCACTCCAGAGTGCCTGTAAGAATGAGTGGCTGGTGGGACTCGCTGCACCACGGGCATGTATGAGGGTCTCATCCCTGTTTGTGCAACCTGCTGCACGGTGATCTGCTCCTGTGGTACCCTTCAGTAGTACATGTGGCATGTGGAGGAGAGGGAGAGGCTCACTTGTGTGTGTGCAAGATTCACGCCAGCGTGCATGCGGAAGGGATGAGGCAAAAGGAGTTGGATCTGCCTGACAAGCACCTCACAGCAGTATCCAAGCCTGCCACCCAGCATCCTTCTGTATTCAGTCAGTGGAGAGGGGAAAGGAGAGCACAAACCTGGTGCTGTATTCAGACATCAGCAAGATAAGTGGATCGTTCTCCCCACTGATTGAGGGGAGCCAGACATGCCCAGCAGACCTGTCCACGTCTCCTCTGATGCTCACTCTGTTGATTGCCTCCCAGGCACTGTGTGTCTGTGTGTGAGTAGGAAAACACGTCTACTTCCTGTGCATTTGTGAGACCCTTAGATGCGTGCAAATGTGTGAGCGCTGAACTCAGTGTGCATGTATTTGAGAACCTTGTTGGTCCACAGGAGAGGCTTGCTGCAGTACAGAGGTGTGACTGACCCCAGAATACACACACACACGTAAGACTGCACTTGTCTGTGCGTGTACATATCATTCATTTCGATGTGTGTGTGACAGTCTATTGTGAATGTGTCAAAAACTCACAAAAGTTGAGATGTGTGGTTTGACTTAGCCCAGTGTTCATGTCTCAACAGCAGTAGGCATACACTGCATTTCTCTGCAGTTTGGTGAGATCCTCCACTCCAGGAGGTTTCAGACATACTGTGCACCTATTTAAGTCTCAGTGTATTCATGCATACTACTCCACAGAGCATGAGATCTGTGTCATTGTGTGATTCCCTCTGTGTACATTGCAAAACTATCTCCATATTCCAGTCATTAACTCCTCCAGGCTTATGATTATGGTTCTGTGCACAAGTCAACCGTGTGTCTCATTCTGCTATATGAAAGTGGCTGATTGTATGCTGCACATTTGGGCATGCAGGTGTTCATGTGACTGCAACCTGTGCATGATGCTCCTTACCTGTGTTGTCCTTTGAACCCAGAGAGCAACTGAGCACCACGCAGCTGTTCATTCACCCCTTTCCCCTCAGGAACGGGAAGGAGTAAATAAAGCAAAATGCTCAGGAATCGACATAAGGACAGGGAGGAATCAAGGGCAAAAGACAGATTTGTTAGGGGAAGAAAAAAGAATATCACTTTAATTCAAACACTAACAAAAACAACACTTAACAGACAAGGTGGGACAGTGAGAAGTGCCACCACGTTGAAAAAAACATCTACTCCCACCCCTCCCTTTTTCCTGGGCTCAGCTCTGCTCCCCACATCTCTACCTCCTCCCCCAGTGGCACAGGGGCAGGGGATGGGGGTTACAGTCAGCTCGCTGCTCATTCCTTCTCAGGAGAGGTTGAACGCCGCACATTCCTCCCCTGCTCCACATGGCTCCCCTCCCACTGCAGTCAGTCCTCCATGAACCTTCTCCCGCATGAGTCCTCCCCACATGATGCAGCTGTTCCCATGCTGATCCAGTGTGGCTCACCCCCGCGTATTGCAGTCCTCCCATCACCAAACCACAACAGCAGGCACCGCTTCTCTCCTCAGAGTCCTGGCTTCTTTTAAGCGCAGATGCCTGTCCCAGTGTTGGCTCCTTCACAGACTTCTGCTCCACTGCGGACCTCCATGGGTGGCAGAGGGGTGGCCCTGCCATCTCACTGTAGGATACATGGGGGGTCTCTGCTCCAGAGCACTTCCCCCCACTTCCTCCTCCTTCTGTCAACTGACCTTAGTGTTCACATAGGTGTCCTTCTCATAACTCTTCCTCACAAGCCCCAACCCCCTCCCAGGTTCCCCTTCTTAAATACATTCTTGCAGAGGTGCAGCCACTGTCGCTAATTGGCTCAGCCCTTGGCCAGATGTGGGTCCGACTTGGAGCCGGGGGAGCCTCGAGAAGCTTCTCACAAGGGCCACCACTATAGCCCTCTCCCCCACAACCAAAAACCCCACCACACAAACCCAGCACAGTCCTGCACTTCAAGGCACATGCATCAACTTCTGTTCCAGTGGAAAAGAAGCAGGTACTTCTGTGAGTCACTCCAAGATTTGCACAATTGGTGATGTTTTGCTGTGAGCTCAGTCCTTTTCACAGACCCCATCTGACCACTAACTCCTGTATGGCCTGTTCTGTTTCCAAGATTCAGGTTCCTTTCTATTCCATCTGTTGTCATGATGGAAGACCCTCCCATTTCTCCTTTTGATTTGTTCTTGCTTTGCAATCAGTGGCGAGGAGAAGTTCAGAACAACTACCACCTTTTGTGCCCATAATGTATGTGTGTGTCTCCTGGCCTTGGGCTGCATGGGCTTTTTATTTATGTGACACTTTATTAGAGTACTTTACTACCTCTCTTTTCCTGAAGTTTTACAAATTTGCAATACCTTTTTCTTTAAAGTGAGTAATCAGGTAGCCTGACTGTAGCCTTTCTCCTGAACATTTCAGAAGGTGGCTTTCAGTGTAGCTGTCCTTCATTTAGACAGGCTAAGCAGCAATCAGCTGCCCTCTTCAAGGTTTTTTGTTAGGATTGGTTCAACAACTCTCAGACTACTTTCCACAGATCTATTTTTGATTCTTGGAATTTGTGCTAAATTGCTTTAAAACATCCCCTTTTGATAAGCATTTAAGCCAATAATTACTGAACTATGATCCATTATGTGTTATTATCACACCAGCTGTGCCTTGCTTGGCAAAAAAGCAACATACCTGATACCATGGCACACACCCAGGTACATCTATCAGCAGTATTCTCTAACAATGCCATTTATAGATGGCAAGATCTGAAATCAAACCAAAAGCCTCAAATTTTTCTCCAGCATATACAAACCCAGATTTACCTATGTTGGAATGCAGATCCATAGAGTTTAGAGCTTTCATGTACAACAATGAATTTTAGTCTAAATTTTACTTTTCTTATGTTTAAAGTTG